GCCAGACAGACAGAGAGAGACATAGAGACAGAAAGCGAGAAATTACCCCCCAGGGGGGATGGTCACACCGCAATCCCTTCTCCTCCATTCTCCTCTCGGGATCTTGGGCACGCACGCACACGTGCCCGGCGTGAGTTTCAAGCCACCGGGTCCGGGACGCAAACCGAGGTCGACTACGTGGGAGTCCAGCGACATAGCCATTACGCTAACTGCTGGTCCCCCCACTTGCAATCTTCATGAGCATATTCTTTACATTGAAAAGTGGCAGGATGGAGTTTTCCAATATGAACAGCATAAATATTAGAGCGAGGTTCAGACAACAACTGTCAATCAATCGCAGATCCCTTTCAGTGTGGTCATTACATAATTCATGGATGAGGGCCCTCTGGTCTCTTGAGCATGATCCATCTGAAACCCACAGTGTTCTTTCCTCCTCAGCCTCACACTACGCTTGGCATGTAATAGGAACCAAGCAAACGTCTGCTGGTTGAACTCGGCTAAGAAAAAAATAGGAATTCTCAGTATAAAGGAAGGTAATTTCAATACTGTATGCTCCTGCATTTGCAAATGCTGCTCTTTAAGGGCATTAACGAAAGTTACTTAAAAGGAGGGCCAGCAGGTCGTGTAGTGGTTAAGGTGCAGGATCCCACATGACTAATTCTGTGGTTCAAGTCTTGAACTCAGCTTTTCAACAGGATTAAAAAATGCACTGGGGGGACCAGCAGTTATCATAATGGCTATGTCGCTGGACTCCCACATAGCTGACCGCAGTTGGAGTCCCGGACCCAGTGGCTTAAACTCATGCCGAGCACATGTGCGTGTGTGCCTAAGATCCCCAGAGGATAATGGAGAAGAAGGGATTGCGGCATGGCCATCCCCCTGGGGGGTGATTTCTCACTTTCTGTCTGTTTGTCTCTTTCTGTCTCTGGTGAGCACACGTGCCCTGTAGCAAAAACCTCTCCAAAACAAAAAACGCACTGGGTGCATGTGCATACATGCCCAAAACCCCAAGAGGAGAGTGGAAGAGTAGGGATTGCAGCATGGCCACCCACCTGGGGGGTGATTTCTCTCTCTCTCTCTCTCCAGTGAGCACACATTCCCTATGGCAAAAAATCTAAAAAAAGAAAAGAAAGAAAAAGAAATTACTAAAAAGGAGACAGGACTGAGACCATTTTTCTTTCACTAGCCTGTGCAGTATAGAGCTTGGAAAGGATTTCTTCAAAGACCGGCTGGCTCAGAGAATTCATGAGGCCCAGTTGTAAGGTCTTGCCTAGAATGAAGTCAGGGGTCAGTTACTGACTTGATACTCTGAGCAGCCTTGGACAGCAACCTTGTCCTGGCTGGCTTCACACCCTGGGGACTGTGTGACAAATGCGTCTGCGTCCAGAAAGCATGGGAAGGTGTGGACAAGCTCAAAGCCCCTTGACCCACACCACCATGACTTCAACTGGAATGTCCTTGGAGTGTGGGAAGAATCAGGTAGCTGGTATCCCTGGCCTGACTCTGACCAGAACGGACAGAACATTCTCAGAGGAGTGCGGAAGGAGCCTGAGGAGAAGAGATTAAGAGTCGCTTCTTGGGACCAGCAGGTAGCATGGTGGTTCAGGCACTGGACACGCCCACATGGCCGACTATGGTTTGATTCCCAGACCTGGTGGTGTGCTTTCTCTCTTTCTGTGTGTGTGTGTGTGTGTCTGGTCAAATCAAAATAGATGAATGAATAAATAAAATTAAATAAATAATTATTTAAAAAACAAAAAAAGATGCTTCTTCAAACCTCAGTGTTGCCCTGGAGAGCTTTGTCTCTCTCTCTCTTTCAGACGCGCACACACACACACACACACACACAGACTCACACAGAAACATACACTCTCCCCGGCCTAAAACCCACTGGCTGTGGAATCAGGTTGAAAATGTTAAAACTGTTGCACTGAATGACTTACTAAGAGGTGAGAGGTTATTAAGGATCCAATTACTGGGATTGCCTAGAGCTTTTCCTTTTATAAACGCCAGAGCTATTTGTTTCAAACAATGAGTTGATCAGAGAGAAACCTCCCAGCCACAAATCCAGGACTGCCTGTGTCCAGACAGAGCTGGATGGCTACTCAGAACACTGGCTTTAAAGCTGTCTGAACTCTGTATACATTCCGTCAAGCAGATGTGTGTTTGTGCAGTGGAAATGCAGCGCAGATGTTAAAGGTAAATATTTTTCTAAGCTCTAGCCGATGGGTGGATTAGACACCTACATCTATCAGGGTGCAAATTTTTCTTGGATATAACCGTAAGCCAACACTGTTTCAGTCCTAAATGGGCACTGTTCAGATAGCCTCCACAAGGCGGTGTGAGCAAAAGGAATCTGTCTACACTAATGTTCCTCTCCAGCTCACGGGCCTGGAGAGTGGCCCTTTCCTCTGGCCTCCAAGGCTGGAGGTTAAGGTAGACTTTTACAAGACCCTGATGGGCCTTTAGCAGCCTGTCTGAGCCGGGAGAAGAGGACAGGATGCCAACTGCAATTCTGCTTCTAGAAAAATACATGGTGGGGAAGTAGCTGTGCCCTCCCATCATCACCCGTCCCCCATCTCAGCAAAGCTACAGGCAGGCCTCTGGGACCACAGCTGTCCACACCCTGTGGCTGGACCAGCTGAAGATCTGGGGCTGCTCCAGAGTCCCGGGCCGGCGTCCGGGAGCCGAGGGAGTAGAGGATGCTCCTTTGTCCCTGTGTCATCTTGCACCATCCTGCCCCGGCTCTGCCCCGTGGGAGCTGGCCTGGCAGTGAGGCTGCCCCAGCTGCTCAGAGGTTGAGCCAGTTCCAGAGGGAAGCTGGGGAAGGCCAGACCTTGAGGATTTGGAAATCAGGAGCACAGCCAGGGCAGACCGAGGCCACCGACTCTCGCTGACGCTTTGCCTTTTTCTCTGCTATTACTGAGCAGGCTGGTGGGAGGCTGAAGCCCTCCCTCAGGTTTGTGACGCCCACAGTCCAGCCTTGAGTCCTGCCAGGAGCTCAGCATATACCCTCCCCCACCACCCCACCCCAAGGTCACACAGCTGGGAAACCCTGGAGCTACAAAGATTTCGCGATCCGCATTCCCTGCTCCGAACGGCGTGCAGCTGGGGTCAAGCCCCACATGCCCTCCCCAAAATGCATGTGTTGTGTGCATTTTGATCTGTGGAATTGTGTCTTGCGCACCTAACGTGCACTGGCACAACACTAAGCATGGGTGGGAGATAGGGCCCAACCCTGGAGAGGCTGATAACCTTGTGGAAGAGAAAAAGTGACCACACACGAAATGACACCAGCCTTGAAGACGGAATAAAGTGCGGGTGTGTGTTACTTTCTATTAATGCAATAGACTCTGAAGCCAATGACTGGAGAAATGTTTCAACTAGTAAAGGACTCTGAAGCTGTATTATTTTTCTGTTGGAGGTTCTGACAGTCTCCTTTTGCCATCTTAGTCTCATAACTTCAGAGCAACGAATTGGCTGTCGCTGATCACATTAAAGAGCATTTGAAAGGAGGGTGTGCCAGCAATGCACTTTGTTAAAGTTAAGCAGCGTGTGAAGGCTTCTAATGTCACAACTAGTGGTCGTAAACGTGGAAAGAACATGCAAATTATTAACAAAGAAGGTAGGCCATGACGCCAAAGCTCTAACCACTTAAATGGGGTAGTAGATTAAGGAGAGAAAAAGGAGAGATCTGAAAAGGCTGGGCTAAAGGATTGGAGTGCAAAGCCTGGAGGCTGAGGACAGCTTCCGCCACGCTGGGCCCTCTCGCCCCCGTTCTGTCCACTTTCTCCCGTGTGAGGGCAACTGGGCTGCTGCATAAGCTCTGAGTTGTGTGTAAGTGGACGTGGAATGGAGCTTCGACTTAAATCTATATGATGGTCTCATTGTTTTATTGTTGGAAAAGCAACTGATAGTACAAACACGTAGAGGTAAAAAATAAAAGCCCTCCCCCCCAAAAAATGTAAAAAGATAGGGAACCAGCAGTTAGCGTAATGGCTATGTCACTGGACTCCCATGTAGTCAACCGCAGTTCGCGTCCCGGACCTGGTGGCTTAAAACTCACGCCGGGCGCATGTGCGTGCGTGCCCAAGATCCCAAGAGGAGAATGGAGAAGGGATTGCAGCATGGCCATCCCCCCCTGGGGGGTGATTTCTCGCTTTC